TGCATAGTATTCCATGGTGTGTATGTACCATAGTTTGGTTATCCATTCCTCAGTTGATGGACACCTAGGTTGTTTCCATCTTTTGGCTATTGTAAACAGTGCTGCAATGAACCTGGGTGTGTATAAGTCTGTTCTTGTCATGGCTCTCACTTCTTTAGGATATATACCTAGTAATGGAATGGCTGGGTCAAATGGTATGTCTAATTCCAACTTTTTAAGAAATCATAATACTGCTCTCCACAGTAGTTGTACAATTTTACAGTCCCACCAGCAGTGTATGAGAGTCCCAATCTCTCCACATCCTCACCAACATTTGTTATTTTCTGTCTTGTTGAACTTTGCTACTAATGCTGGGGCAAGATGGAATCCCATTGTTGTTTTGATTTGCATCTCTCTAATGGCTTGAGCATTTCTTCATATGTTTGTTGGCCCCCTGAATATCCTCCTTGGTGAAGTGTCTATTCATATCTTCTGCTCATTTTTTAATGGGATTATTTGTCTTTTTGTTATTGAGATGCTGGAGTTTTCTATAAATTCTAGAGATAAGTCCCTTGTCAGATATGTCATTGCCAAATAATTTTTCCCAATCTGTAGGTTCTCTTTTGACTCTTTTGGAGAAATCTTTGGAAGTATATAAAAATTTAATTTTTAGAAAGTCCCATTCTTCTAGTTTCTCTTCTGCTGTTTGTGCATTTTGGGTTATGCTTGATAGTCTATTTATGACATATATTAGGGCCCCTAAATTTGCCCCAAGTGTTTCCTTAAGGAACTTTATAGTTTTAGGTTTCACATTTAAGACTTTGATCCATCTGGAGTTAGTTTTTGTGTATGGTGTGAGGTATAGATCTTGTTTCATTTTTTTGCAAATGGATCTCCAGTTTTGCCAGCACCATTTATTAAACAAACATTCTCTTTCCCATTTAATGGATTTGGGCCATTTGTCAAAGATCAGCTGACCATAGGTCGATAGATCTATTTCTGGATTATCAATTCTATTCCATTGGTCTGTGTCTCTCATTGTACCAATACCAGGCAGTTTTGACTAATGTGGCTGTATAGTAGGTTTTGAGATCCGGCAGTGTGAGACCTCCTACTTTGTTCTTCTTCAATAGTGCTTTGCTTATC